TCTGAGGATAAGTCCATTGTTGCCCCCAGAATCTATTCTCCACAAGGCAGCCGAAGTGATCTCTTAAAAATCTAAATCTGAGGGGCGCCTGGGTGGCTCAGTTGGTTGAGCGACTGCCTTCAGCTCAGGTCATGATCCTGGAGTCCCTGGATCGAGTCCCGCATCGGGCTCCCTGCTCGGCAGGGAGCCTGCTTCTCCCTCTGACCCTCCCCCCTCTCAGGTGCTCTCTCTCTCTCTCTCTCTCATTCTGTCTCAAATAAATAAATAAAATCTTTAAAAAAAAAAAATCTAAATCTGATCATGTCACTGCCCTGCTTAAAAACTTTCTATCATTTCCCTTAGAATAAAATCTAAAACCAGCAGGCTTGTAACACTGAGCTCCTATCTCCTTTAACTTCATCTCATACCCCTTTCTTCTCTGCTTATGATGTTCTAGCTTCCTTTTTGTTCTTTTTCTTTTCTTTCTAAAGATTTTTATTTATTTATTGAGACAGATAATGATAGAGAGAGAGCATGAGAAGGGAGAGTCAGAGGGAGAAGCAGACTCCCTGCTGAGCAGGGAGCCTGATGTGGGACTCGATCCCGGGACTCTAGGATCATGACCTGAGCCGAAGGCAGTCGCTTAAACAACTGAGCCACCCAGGCGCCCTGTTCTTTTTCTAACACACCAAAATTTTCCTACCTCAGGGTCTTTGCACTGCTGTTTTCTCTGTCTGCAAAGCTCTTCTCCTGGTTATTTGCATCTACAGTCCTCTCAGCACTCAAACACAATCTTCAGAGGCCTGTATAATTCTTCTGCAGTAATTCTATCCACCTCCTATTCATATATCTCTACTTCCTTTGTAGCACTTATATGTTTTAGTTCATTGTCTGCATTCCCCATTCCCTTAAAAGGCAAACTTCCAGAAGACAGGGTCCAAGTCTCTCTGCTCACTACTGGATCCCCAGGATCTAGAATACAGAGCGCCTATTAAATAACTAAATGAATAAGAGTTCAAGGTCACAAACAGATTTTTAGATACAGCATGCAACCAGCAGGGAAATGTGATCTTTAACACAAAGATCATTTTCTTAAGTTTTCACTTCACATCTCAAGTTTTGTCTTTATTCTGAGAGATCCAATGACCATGTTGATGACTCACCTAATAATCTCACCTTGAAGTTTCTGGACATCCTCCCCTAAATGTCAACATTTTAATTTTTGGTCCACTTCAATGACCTACTTCTGCTATTACAATCTCAACCTTCAATAGTCCATCAGGGATTTAAGCTTCTTGCCTTCCAGTTTTCTTACTTTCATTCCACCCATAGGCTCAGAGCATAGGAAGCCTCACTGGTAACTGAGTCTTGGGTTCAGGAAGGCAAGACACCAAATCAATGAGCAGAATACCTGCCCATGTCAAGAGTTAGGGATGCAAAGCAGAAATGCTCAGTGTGTCCAAACACAACCTGGATACCAGAACCCAGAGAGCTGAACCAGCAAGTTTAACCCAAATGGATACAGATATATGGGCAGGGAAGGTGCAGGAAATCAAAATCAAGAGATTATCTTCAGGCATAGACAGGGACTGGAAGATTCAGATAAGGGGCCGGAGAGAATGCTTAGTGACTTCTCTTGCTCTTCCAAACCACCGATAGACTCCTGAAATGGGTGTTGGGATGGGGAGAGGGATTGCATTGGGGTTCTTCTTCGAAACCTAGAACTCTCTCTTATCAACTGACAATCTGGCTTCTGACTTCATCACCTCATCAAATCTGCTTCCTACCAGTGATATTTTTCAATCTAATTCCAATTGGTAGTTTTTAGTCTTCATCTTACTGGGCCTCCTGGTTATAGTTGACATGGTTGATTTCCCCTTCATTCTCTGAATGCTCTGTTCTCCAGGCTTCCATGACACCACATTCCCTAATTCTCTCCTGATCACTCTGACTGCTTCCTGTCTATTTCCATCATGGGATCCTTACTCTCGCATCTGGTACCTTCCAGTATCTGCCCTGTGTCTTCTTATTGTTTTATGTTACATATTCCCTACTGTGATCTGTGCCATTCTCATGCCTTCAACAAGCATGCAAATCCTGATGACTGCCAGATTCCTCTCTTGCACTGTTCTTTCATACCAGAGCTTCAGAAGTGTGTGTCCAATATGGAGATCTTTCCCTGATCCATCCCAGGCACCTCAAGCTCCTCATGTCCCAAACTGACTTCCTAATGTTTCCCTCCCAGTCTCCTTTCATTCCAGTAGTGCTTATTTTAGAGGGCAGTTCTACCGTTGACCCAGTCACTCAAACAAGAAATCTGGACATCAAACTTGACTGGTTCCTCTCCCTTGCCATCTGTTGCTATCATTTCATTCATTCATTCACTCACTCATTCATTCATTCATTCAACAAACTGTAATCAAGCCCTTCTATTTACCAGGTAGTGTTCTAATTGCAGGCTAAACAGTGGGTAAGTGAAATACATAATTCCTGTCTTCACGATGCATATAAACCACTGTCTGACTTTACCTCTAGAGTGTCTCTTTCCTCTGTCTCCCCTTATCTTTTATTCCTAGCAGTACTTGGCATATAATAGATTTATCTTTATCAAATGAATGAATGAATACATGAGAATGTAACTATCTGAACATCTGCTGTCTACATAACACAGATTAGGGCTCAGCATACTGATATCATTAACACGATTTCTAAGCACACATTATGAATTAATAGACTCTAAAACATCTGGCCAATTTAGTTGGAAACCACCCCACCCCCCAGTGAAGCATTAGTATGTTTTATTTGTGTTATGCAAACACTCAGATGGTCTGGACTGTCTGTGGAACTGACTGGGTGTCTGGCAGAGCGTGGGCTTAGCCAGATCACTCCTGATTTCTTCCAGGTGCACGTCCTATCTCTGAATCACACACATGACTCACTGACTTCTAGAGCTAAGCCTAAGTACAAACTCTGAGAGCTTGTGGGCATTTCCATCGATTCAGTCATTTCCACTTGGTTATTTATGAATATCAATACACATTCACTGGCTTGTAGGTCTGATGGCATTAAAATGAATTGAGATTATGCATGCTGAACATGGCGCAGATGGGTGGTATCCAGGTAAAACTCAGGCATCACAAGAAATGGTTAAACACCGAGATTAATGGTCTTTGATAATGATATGTCATCCCAACTATTTCATGACACCAGAAAATATCTTTAGGAAATCAGCAAAGAAAATATTTCCACTCGCCCTATACAATTTTGCCAGATGGCTCAATCATGAAATAAAACCAAGCATCTCCACCTCTCTCTTCTTGGTTCTACACTATTAGTGGCAAGGTTGGGTACAACTGAGGTGAGAACAATTAGGGATTTTCCCAATTTCTACAATGATCTTAAATAGGAAATTTTTCAAATGGAAAGACCAAAAAGGAAAAACAGAAACACTAAAACAAAGAGAGAATTTTATGCAGTTACTGAGGCACCCAGGGTGAGGCACGCATCTCCTCTCAATAACCGGCATTCAGGCTCAAGCTAACAACAGGCAGAGGGAGCCGGGAGGACACTGTCAGTTGGCCATGCATCCACTGCAGCAAATGTACAAGACTGTTATTTTATGTAACATCAAACTGTACCATGCATACCAATCCAAGGATGAAAAAAAGTAGACACTGAAATCAGTGATGACTTGTGTGGACATATAATCTGGGGGCAAATTAAACACTCACAAAAGACAAGTGAAGACCTAACGGTAAAACTCTTACAAGGCATGTGGGCTTAGCTGGACCTACATCCTTCCCCAGTGGAATCTGATTCATGGATTGTTCCATAGCTTCTTCACAAAGAACTGGAAAGAAACAGGTTAACCTGGTTTGGGGCACCCCACATCCATCTTTCAAGTGCAGAATAAAGAGGGAAGGCTTTCACCATTTTAACCTGCTCCATTTTTAAATGACTTTAAGCAGATAGATTTTCTTATCTGCAAGTTAATGAGAAAAGTTCAGGTCCACGGATGAGGACAATTACCCATTTATGTCCTCATAAAGCTACAACACTCTTCACACTGCTTTCAGCTTTTGCTTGGCTCAGGAGCCTGTCGGAAACTGATTCTAAGTCTTATATACTGACTTCTGTTTGTTTCTTTAAAAAGGTATGTTGGAGTTACACCATGAATTTACATGAATTCGACTATCTGTACTTGGCCTAAAGGATTAAAAGTAAACTCCTAGGAGAGCAGGTGATTTTGCCCGTGCTCTGGACAAGCACGCTGGGGACAAGAGCATCTCTGAATCCCTCTGGTTCTCTCCCTGATCAGCCTCACTTCTCCAGTATATCTCGGAGTCGGAGCATCTCATTGGATTCAGAGTGATTCTGGGATTTGGAAAAAATAATTTTTTAAAATAATTTGATTATTGGTGATTTATATCTATGTACTGACTCTGTAGCCCTATCCCTCATTTAAGATGCAAATTCACACTAAATAGGAATAGAACTATGTGGGTGGCTTTGAAATTGCAGGCTCCTCCTAAAGCGCTCATACTCACCCTTGGCCTCACTCGGTGCTGCTTTTATATTCCCAGATCAACAGTGCCCTCCTGATTTTAAATTTCAGAGGGCAACTCAGAACTCCTGGCCTGCCAGCTCCCTAAGAAATGACATTCTCATGGACTTCTATCTTCTACTTTTGTTGCTAGTTTAGTCATGTCAGGTTCTCCAACATGAGTAATTTTGCGGGCGGGGGGAGGGAGGGGATTATAATCCACCTTCACATGATGTTTATTTTCAGCTAGATCAAAAAAAAGAGAGAGGGTGTTGGGAACCCTCTGATATTTCTGGTATTTCCTGAAATTGCATACATAGGTTAAATCTGTCCTGAGGAGAGATGTTTAATCATTTGCAATTATGGTGCTCTGCAGAGAAAAGGTTAAAGATGAATCGGTTTTCTCTGAGGAGTCTGGGCTGGGGGTGCACTCGAGCATGCATTCTTGGCTAACCAGAAGAAGGAAGCCAGGACTTACGTTCTGTTTCCCCACTATGTTATCAAAGGGCAGTTCGGGGCTCCAGGATCCTTCTGTGAATGTCGCCCCACTGTTTCTCCCGTCTGAGGAGCTCACGGATTCCTTGACAATGTCTTCGGGCAATGACAGCAGACTCTCCTCAGGCTGCTTAATCAAATAGGTCTCTATATTATGCTTCCTCAAGAATTCGTTTCTCTCTTTACCATGACCCTCTTCTACGTTATAGTCACCGTTGAGGCAGTCCAGCGTGGCTTTGGAAATGTGAATCCTCCTGTGGGCACAAAGCATAGGTCATTATACACTCCCGAGGTGGCCTGCAAAAACCATTGCTGTTTGCCGTCCTGTGCAAAGCCAACATCAGGGCTACACACGGGTACCGTGAAGACATATTTTCAAGGACAATACGTGCTCCCCTGAAAAAGCAGAAAAAATAAAAGAAAACAGAAGTACAGATATAAATCAGTGAGCAGCGTATTGCTGACTTCACCCCAAGGGACATTGCAGCCTCATAAATTCCAGCCTTGCTGAGCCATATCTAAACACCTCTTTTGACTTTTCCTATGACTGTCAGCCTGATCCCAGCAACCTTCAAGAATCAGTGATTTTTTTGGTATTGTTGACTGTATTGGAAAAACAAGTTCCATAAATGTTTCTGAACCCAAAAGTAATTATTGTCCAAATCACCATGCAACCACAGCAGTTCCCTTAGTGTCTTGGGACTTTTCTCCTCATTTTAATTTTCATATATTTGTGCCTGGATTCTTCAACTTGTCTATAATCTTCTTAAAAATAAAGGCAGGTCTTAGGAGTTCACAGGGCTGCATGGAGGGTCCTTTAGGAAAACTACTCTAAGATGCAATTTCTTCTAGAAGGTGTATGTGGCAAGGAGCAGGGAACAGAGAAGTGAACACAGGTAGGCAGGTGGCTGGCTAGGCTCACTCACAAGGTAAGTGCTCATTCCTGCATCACCACTGCATCACAGCTCATGATCCAAATTGTTGTTTTTATATTTGTTTTAGCAAAACAACAGATGACATCAAGAGCCTTAAGGATCAGACCTGAATTGTGGAAACTTCACATGGTAAATCCTTTGGGGAAGAGTTTTTCTGTTCTCTTAACTGTCTAATTCAATCAGATTACTTATTGTGTTGTATTGTGGTCTGGGTAGATTAGTATGGTGATGATGAGCATGGACTGTTTGGCCAGATTGCCTGGATTGAAATCCTAGCGTTACCACTTGCTAGCTGAGAGATCTTGGGTAAACTACTTAAACTTTCAGTAAGTCTGTTTTCTTACGTTAAATATGGGAAAATAAAAGTACCCATCTCTTAAGGTCATTGTATTCTAAAGCTGATTTGTGTAAAGACAGTGTGCACGGTACCCTGAACATACTATAAAAGCACATGCTTAAATTATTAGCAATATTCTCAAAAATGCCACTGTGATATTACTGTTGTCTATTCCATGCCTCCACAAGGCTTACAGGATACAACCTAAGCTCTGAAGAAGGCTTCTGAGCCCTGCTTTTCTGGGCTCTACCACTTTAAAACTCATTCTCTGGGGGCGACTGGGTGGCTCAGTCGTTAAGCGTCTGCCTTTGGCTCAGGTCATGATCCCAGAGTCCTAGGATCGAGCCCCGCATCGGGCTCCTGCTTGGCGGGAAGCCTGCTTCTCCCTCTCCCACTCCCCCTGCTTGTGTTCCCTCTCTCGCTATGTCTCTCTCTGTCAAATAAATAAATAAAATCTTAAAAAAAAAAAGAAAATATAAAACTTAAAAAAAAAATAAAACTCATTCTCTGACACTGCTCCCCTCCTGTACCCTATGCTTTCTCCAGCTAATCAAGTAATTGGCATTTCTTTAAAGCCAAGGTACCATTTCATGCCTATTAAACTCAGAACAAGCCATGCTCTTTGCCTGGAATGCTCACCCCATGTTTTCTACAGGACAATTTCTTACTCCCCAGTTCAGCTCAAAAGTCATCTTCCTTGGGCTGACTTTACCACTCTTCTGAATGAATGAATGGATGAATAAGGGAGATGCTTAGTATTTTGCTTGGCTTTTGCAATTGTAGAAAAAATATATCCAAAGAAGGAAACAATAAAATTTTTTAAAAAGGAGCATTTCCAAATGAATTGTACTTTTAGTACTATCTCTACTTCCCCATTACCCTTTTTACCCATCCTGCTAAGCTCCTGCTTACGGAGAATAACTCACTGCAAAGGACACAGAAAGAAACAGGAACTAAAAAAAAAGGAATTCCTGATCATTTAAGATACATTCTCCATGTTTTCCAAATAAGTATCATCATACATAGTCATCGATTTCAAAAGCAAGACAAGATATTAAAAATAAAAGCATGTGATTGAGCTTTCTTGAGAAATGTGAGAAATGTGTGTAAGTGCAAATTATTCTCATGATGAATTTTGTTAATACCTGGGAACTCAATCATGTTAACCTAGAGAAATAGAAAAGTCATTGACCTTCTATGAAATGGATGCGCCAGTCTTCTTTCTTAGATCAAGTCCAGAGCTAGGGGCTAGAAAACTGTCTTTTTCTCCCAGGCAAAACAAAACTCTTGGAAGGGTTTTGTTAAGTCCGATGGTTGATTTTAAATAAGTTAAGTATCAACCTCATCTGATATTTTATATGGATTCTGCATTTTATTATTCTGCTGTCAGTGCTCAGGGAGACTAATATTTGCATATACTAAATCAATACTATGTTTTCCACGGTAGAAGACATCCTCACTTTTATTTATTGCTGATTGTTCTGCTGAAGTTCTAATCAATATACACTTAAATGTTTTGATAGAAACTGGGCTTCAGATATTCATTTTCATCCTTGCTAGTGCCTTGAGCTTCGGAGTGAGGCATTTGCAGATGACAGTGTGGTAATTACATTTCCCCCTAAAGAAATGAATCCAGCCTCAGACAATATTCTCATATATGGAATTTTGGGTCAACATTTTCTGGTAATTTCAAATGCCAGCATATAATAATAACAGTTATGATAGTAAATAAGATGTAACAGTTGGGTGACACTTATTTTGCATAAATGTTATTTTGTAGCCAAAGGTATTACTAGATGCTTGGCTCTGTGGATCATCTCATATAATTTCCATTCTTCCCAGCCACTCTCGGGGACAGGCATTTCTTCACCTCCTTTTGCAGATGGTGAGATTGGCCCGGAGATAATGAGTAAGTAACTGGCCTGAGGTTCTATCAGTGGAAGATGATGGTGCAGGATTGAGACAAGGACTTGCATTTTCAGAGCCTACACTGTATCATATGGCCTCCATGACAGCCGTGACCACAGTGAGTATGTCCTGAGCACAGGACAAGGGACTTTATATGCATTATATCATTTAACAGAAGCTCAGGAACAGTGGTCCACAAAGTGTGGTACCAAGGCCAGCAGCATCAATATCACCTGTGACCTTGTTAGGAAGGCCTATTCTTTTTTTTTTT